GCCCCGCGGAGCGGCCCAGGCCCCGCCCCCTACCTGGGGTGTTCAGCAGCCGCGACATCTTGCAGAAGTAGGAGACATACTGCTCGCAGTACTCAGCGCTGCTGGTGATGGCGCTGATCTGCTCCATGGAGGCGCTGTAGGCGAGCTGCGTCACCGAGTACTTCTCCGGGGGGTGGCCCGCCACCGTCGTCTGCATCTGCAGGTCGTGGGACACGATGGTCCACACTTTGTCCTCTGTGGGGGGAAACGACACCATCGTGAGGCACAGTGGTCAGTTTGTCCTCTGGGGGAGGGCAGACAAGGCACAGCCCTGGGCCCTGGTGCACAGACGCTGCAGGAGCTTTGCTGCAGAGGGTCTCCCCCCACCCCATCTCCACGGGCTTGCCCAGAATTCAGGAGAGTTCCCTAAGTCACCCCCGCCTTTGCTCACACCAAGTTCTGCTTAGACAGACACAGTCGAAAAGGAAGATTCTGTTCAAAGCAAACACAAGAGTCCTCTGAACTATGGAAACAGGCGGCCCGCGTATCTGGGGGTGCGCTACGGCCCGCAGCAGTGAGGGTGAGCCCGGCTCCCCGACTCTGCACCGCACCCCTCGCGCCCACCCGGCCTAGGAGAGCTGCGCCCCCTCCTGAACGCGCGGCTCCGCTCGCTGGACCTCTGCGCTGCTGTCTGACGCTAATCAGAGTTTGCATCCTCTCCGCCTGTCAGATAAACTAGACCCCGTGTTCCCAGAGATGGACACGCCCTGCACGTGCGGAATAATGCCGGGGGGCCATCATTCTGGACCCTGACAGCTTCCGTGTGCCAAGAGAACAGCTCTAGACCCCCGAGATGCAACGCAAACTGTCTCCTCAGAGGGAACTGCAAGCACCAGCGGGGACCGCGACAGTGTCATCCTTGAGAGACAGACACCGTCCACGGAAGGGCCCCCACACCAGGGCCAGTGTCTAGCCCAGCCAGCACCCCAACACCCACTCCACGCCGACGGGGGGCTGCAGGACACTCAGGGATTGAAGGCACAGAGGCCTCCCTAGAAGCGGCAGCTAAGGACCCTCAGGTCAAGGACCGGCGATGTTCACATCCATTAGAATTTCCTGCAGTGAGTGAAAACACACCACGTGTTTTTAATTCCTAACATCCACTAAAAGCAAACCTAAGTTCAAATTTGGAAGATGCCAGGTAAGTTCTTTTTGAGACTGGTGTAGTCAGAGCAGGACGCATCTCCACGACTTCACCCAAAGGGACGGAATCCTCTGTGGAAAAGTTCCAGCTCACAAACGAAGACTAAATGACAGCTACCGGCGTCCCTGGCTGGTGCCGGCCAAGCCTGAGGTGGGGACCACAGTGGACACCACCCTGCTGCAGGTCGCGGGCGAGGGGGGCAGAGCAGGCAGCTCCCCAGGAACGTCGCCCAGTGCCAGGCTAAGCCCGACGCCTGGACACCGCGGAGGCGCGGATGCCCTCAAGGGCCAGCGTGAGGTCAGCGGAATCCACGCCCGGGCACGCTCCGGGTCACCCAGTCCTGCTTTTTCTGCAGGTAACTCACAAATTTGGAGGGAAATACCGGCAGGGGAGGGAGGAAACGGAATTCACAGCCCAAGGGAGCGAGCAAGCGGGGGTGAGATGACCGGGCTGGGAGTCCTCCAGGCAGCGCCTCCTCTTGCTGAGTGGAAACGGCCCGGCCTCCTCCCCGGGGCCTCCCCGCTCCTCCTCCCTGCACCCCACCCCCAGGACTCCGCGCCCCTCCTTCACAGAGGCGCAGACTGCGAGCCCTCTTAGCCCCAGCCCAGAGCGGGGCCTCTTACCGCCATTTCCGCAGTTACGGGGGCCGGCCCTGGCTTCCCACCTTGTTGTCCACCCTGTACACAGCCGCCAGGTGAACCCAGTCAAAGGCCAGGCGCCACCTGGGCGCCGCCCACAGCCGCCCACGCGACCCCGCGCGGCCCCGC